AGCTGATGCTCATCGTCCATCAGTACTGAGTGAACGCCACAGAAACCCAAGAGGTATCACGCCTGTTTCACACATACTCCGTCTGCAGTGCGAGTGCGTTGCGTTTTTTTTACGCACCCATGTTAACGGATTAGAGCTTTCACACTGCACGCGGTTGCGGTCCGTCGGTGCGTTCCAGGTGCGGTGCGTCTGCAGCGATCGTTTACGCACCGAGTCTATTTTTGCTGTGCTGCACGCGCTGAATTAAAGTGACAGCGCTTTGTTCGCGGTAAAAATGAACATGGATTGAGACTGAAATGTAGTAATTTCTCAATAAATAGATATAATTAAAGTCTACTGTGTTTGACAGGCTTTTTTGGATGTGTTTGAAACAAATAAAAGTACACTTTTAGATAAACAAGGCAACATGCACTTGTGTCTTGTGGAGGTAGAAAAACAAAGTTCTTTAAGACCCGCGGGACTGTTTGTAATAAATATTTAAATGTAAAAGGCACAAGAGCAGCCGACTGTTTCTGTCAGTGGTAAGTTTTAATTTAAAATAGCCTATTTGTGATAACCTAACACAAGAAAGCTATATGCTGTGTTCAAATGTGTTTCCACTTGCTTGAGCAACTTAATATACACATCTAAAAGCCAAATGCATTTAATACGCTGTTTATATTAATTGAGTTTAAACGTGAATATGTCTGAAAGATTGTGTAACTGTACTGTGATAAAAGAGGATCACAATGCTGAAACAAGACTTTCAGTATAGTTTGGTTTTGAAATCAAAATAATGGATAAATGTTGTGTTTGTGTTAAACAGCCGCGGATCATGAGCGGACTGCAAACGCGTCCTGTGTGAAAGCACAACGAGTCCGTGCTGCTTCTGCACCGCATACGCACTGCAGACGGAGTATGTGTGAAACAGGCGTAAGACAGCAGAGAAACAAAGCTGAAGCGCTGACGGCAACGCGCTTCACTCTTTGCCCTGATCCAGAAATGTTCTCTTTTGTTCAGCTCAGTGCGACCGAGTGCGTTCTTGACCTCTTAACGTTGTGAATAGATTTCTCAATTGCAAACTACAGGTGCATCTCAATAAATTAGAATGTAGTGGAAAAGTTCATTTATTTCAGTAATTCAGCTCAAATTGTGAAACTCATGTATTAAATAAATTGTATTCTAATTTGTTGAGATAGTGAATTGGTGGGTTTTTGTTAAATGTGAGCCAAAATCATCACAATTAAAAGAACCAAAGACTTAAACTACTTCAGTCTGTGTGCATTGAATTTATTTAATACACGAGTTTCACAATTTGAGTTGAATTACTGAAATAAATTAACTTTTCCATGACATTCTAATTTATTGAGCTGCACCTGTATGAGCGAGCGTGTGAACGCTACGGGCGTATTTCTCGTATTGATGTTTATTTTGTTTAACTCTTAATTTTTGTGTAAAATTTTTTTTTGCTTTTTGGAAGCATTAGGGAGAGGGTGCCATTTTCTTTGAACTTGAGATTTTGCCTATGTTTATGTTAGTCAGGGAGTAAGGTAAGACCCTGTCATTTATTTATTTTCATTTGTTTAGGTTATTTAAAGCTTTCGTTGATAGAGAGTTTTGTTTATGTTGGCCTTGCCCTCTCTTGAAGATTTGCTTCCTTTATAATTATTTTTGTTATTAATAAAGCTATTTGTTTAAGTTTGCGTGTGGTGCTTTTCTGGATAAGGGAATTGTTGTGACTGTCAGGCCCCCTTT